CTAGTTAGTGTGCGCGGCGCCATTTTTGTTGATGTTTGTTCTCCGCTACTGCGCATGTCCAAATTTACGTGCGGGGAGCAGCGCGGAGGCGGGGGTCAGAGCAGAGGGGGATTTCACACCTTTCCCCTCTCGCTGGTGTGAAAAAGCTCCCTGCTGTGCAGCGTTTCTGAGTTGTCCCACTCTGCAGGCTGGATCTGAACACTTACGTTTTCACCCCCCTGGAACACAGTCTTCGTATGAACGGTTGGTAGCAACCGACATCCAACTATACCGTTTTACTGCCACATTGTCTCCGTGTAAACTCAGCCTATGTTGCAAGACGTTGTCCAACAAGTGGTTAATGTGTAACTTCACCTATTTTGGGGCTTTTCAATGGTTGGGGGTGTGTGGGTTATCTGTTCTGAAATAAATAAGCTGCCTGCAGAGCATCAAGCGGGACTTGGCTTTGGGCTGTGTGTGGAGCATAGACCTCTTTGGCAGCTGCAAAGAGATCTCCTCCTTCTTACATGCAAGTAAAAAACTAATCCCATGTCTGTTGTGTGCTTCTGTCCAGATAACTGTAGTAGAACCCTTTTTCACAACCTCGCTGAATCCTTGAGCAAGCTCTGTGCAAAAATAGACAGACTGTGGACTTTTGGGAGAAAGACACATTTCTCATCTGCACATTTGTGAGTGACATGACCTTTCGATCATCTGTTGAACGCGGCTCTGGAGACAGCCTGTGGAGTCAGCTGATACCATCTTTGATCTGCTCTGTTCAATAGCACAGCGCCCCGTGTAGGAGGCTCCTGACGCGACGGTGGACAAGGCGCTCTTTCTCAGCCTTGTCAAACTTTCGTCACATTTTCTTTCGTAACATTTTCAGTGCACCGTACAGTTGGGATATTTCATTATTTGGATAAAAGCCGGCCTTCGGTATCTCGTTATTAAATGTGAAATATCTGGCGACCTCTACACTCTTTTGACTATCTATTGACCTCCAAATTCCAACATGGCTTTTTTAAAGACAGTCCAAACCGTGCTGGTTAGTTCACCATCTGGATGTATAATTATGAGGGAGATCTAAATACATTGTGCATTGTTTGGTGAACAATGCATCCCAAAGTTACAGTAGATTAGATCAGTGTTCCACAACATTTTTGAGCCGTGGCACACCTTTGTCTTGATAAAAAAATCATATGGCACACCACCAACGGAATTTGATACGAAATTCAAACACTGCAGCCTTTATTTACAAAGCAAAATCATTCTCATCAACGTGTAATTTGCAAATGAAACAAGCAGAATAAAAAAAATCTTTCAGAGCATCTAACAATATTTTCTTTTCACATGACTTTGAACAAGCAGGTGATATTGGACTAATCCAAAGACACAACAACGGCACACTGGTTGAAAAAACACTGGATTAGATTATCTCTTTGTCTCGCAAAACAGTTGCTATGTTTATCATGCAATATCAGTAAAATTGTGATATCAGACCACGCTTCTGTCTTGCACTATGACCCCTAGTGGAAATTTCTTCTTAAATAGATTGTGGAGATTAAACAGGAATTATGGATAAAGAATGTATAGAATATGTTAGAGAGAATATTCATGTCTTTATGTCAACAGCGTGAATGAAGCCGACCCTCGGGAAAAACCTCGCATTGACATTAAATAGGACAGTTAATTACCGAGCACCATATATATGTCAACTATCACGGTGATTCCTAAACCAGGTCGTAAATGAAACAAACCTTCAGATGTTTGACCAATAAGTTTGACTAATAAGTTTGATTAACTTTGACAGGAAGATTACACCAAATATTATACACCCTACCTGGACAGGGTTCATTACTAACAAAGATCTCAAAACAAACATGCAAACATGCATATCTCTAATATAAAATGCAAAGAATGGTCCTCCTTGTATGAAGTGTGGGTTAAGCCTTAATCAGACTGCGGCACAGATGTTAGACAGTATATAGATGGTATTATTAACCATACTAACGAAGATCCACAAATTGAAATGGAGAATCACCAATTAAAACCAGGTAATTTTTTATCAGCCCTATTCTCTGAGAAAAAAGTGAAGACTAATAACTTTGTCATAGATAGCAAAGATTCTAGGTACCACCTTAAAGGCGCTATACCCGTTTCTGCAATGTTTGAATGTTTAGCACCGCCCCCCAACTCGCTCAATGGCTTCTCATTTCCCCTACGCTCTCATAACACGGAGCCACCTAGTTTTATTTGCGATCTGATACATATGCTAACATTAGCATTAGCGCAACTTCTTATAAGCTGTGCAACAATCACTGATGAAATGGTACTAAAGCAACGCACTGCTAACACGATATATAAGTAAAAGAATACCACTAGTTTCGCGTCCGAATGTATTAATTTAAAACCTTAGAATATAGTCTAATATTTAATTATAATTTGTTGTAGAGCTCCTCAAAGCAGCAGCAGCAATTCTTCCGATCATTTTTCTTGATAACAGAACTCTCAAACTAATAATGACCGAAGCCCCAATGCAACCTCTGTTTGTAATTCAGGTGTGTAAAATACTGCCATTACTCTGCAAGTACAAAACGCTTTCAGCACCTGTCACTACACACTTGTCTGTGTAGAGAAGCCAACGGAGCTAGCCACGCTCAATAAACAACTACATATCTATCAATCAACACCATTAAACGTCAATCGGACAATACAGTACACATATACATCCTTAACACACATGCACGGATGATTTCAGAATTTGCTGTTAACGTTTTCATGACAAAAATACTGTTTCAATGTGACAAAAAGCGATTGCGAAAAACCCGGAAGTTACCATGAAACAACTAGCTAGCTTAGCTGTTACCTGCCTAGCACGTCCCGGTGAAACCTTTGGGAGCTAACTATTTTATTTGCAGTCATTAAATACATTTCGAATTACAAGGGTTGTCTAATATTTGTTCACATTTTTTTATTCAATTATTTTGTTCATCCTTTTTTATTTTAGAATTATATTCGAATTTTGAAGTCCTGGTGTTCCGCAGCGCTGTAGAGGCTAGAGGACGCAGGCTGTTCGCTGCTCGTTCTGTGAGCGGAGGAGAAAGAGCGGCCCGCTCAGACTCTACTCAGCACTTTTCACTGCTTGTAATTCTTACACAGCTGAATCAATTACCTCAAGTTTTCAATTAAATGATGTATTATGATACAACTTGTATGTAGTAAAAAGCATTTTTATGAACTACTTAGAAAAAAAATCGGGTATAGCTTCTTTAAGATGGAAAGCTTGGATGGAAAGTAGCATTGAAACATAATCCATAATAATAACATCATGGATCTATAATAAAAACTGGATTGGGTGTTACTAGCTTGTAGCTGTCCCACCCATGGGCTACACAGAAAAAAGTCCAATAGAACTCAATGTAAACTAAAACGGCTCGACCTCAGCTGACAGAGAACCTACACCTTTCATAAAGGTCGTATTACCAATCGCTCATCACACCCAAAAGCAGTCAGGATCTCCCAGGGCGCAGTCAAGATATCTGAGGAAACAGTCAGGATATCTTAGGGAAAATATGTGGAAACTGGAACAAAGACATGAACAGTTCTGATACTGAAATGAAAAGAAAAGAAGGTTTACGGCAGGGCTGGTCTAGCCATCAGCGTATCGGGCTATGCCTGAAGGGCCGATGCCCATATTTGAGCTGGTCTGCCTGCGTCATTCAAAATAAGGAAAACTATTTTTACATATTGAAAAAAAGTTTTAAGATTCTTTTTTGTCAGATTTTTTGGAACAAAATTATTTCAGTTTGTGTATTTAAAAATATAATTATAATATAATTGGCCAATTGTTTCACTTCGAACCAGCAAAGTTAAACAATTGGCCAACAACAATTTATATTTTTGAAAGACCGATTTCTAATTAGAATGACATCAATTATGTGGTTGTTTTCTTGAGTAAAGTAGTTTTAAAAAGAGGGATAACACACTATATTAGCTCATAGAAACCTTACCATCAAGTTGATAGTAGTCATTGAAAGTCATTTCAGCCCAAATATTTCATTTCAGTGTTGTGTTTGACACCAGCAGCTCAAACTAAAGACCACAGGGTTTGACATTTTGAGTAGTATAATTGACATACTGGTTTCTCAAGAGAAATGGAATTGTTTGCAAATGTGTGTAGCATCATTACCGATCCATAAACTCAGTGGAGGAGACGAGATTGACAAGACGACTGCGATGACTGACACTTTTCTGAAGAGCTGAGCGGGCGGATGCAGTGATCGTTGGTCGCATTGCAGAGAAGTGTAGGAGGAGTTGGGTCATCTATGTAGCCCACGAGGATTGCTTAAGTCTACCACCATCCTCCATCTTAGGAACAAGACTGCAACACTTGGTCACTGTTGCAGCTTTCAGATTTAAACATTCTGGAGGAGGCAGTGTGGGAGCTTGGAATGGAAACTTTTATTGTTTAAGAACAAGTTTTGTTGTTCCCGAATCTTGTATTGCTGTGAGAATACGTATTGGGAACTTAAGGAATCTTCCATTTCAAAGCACAGCTTTACGACAGGGCTGGACTGGCCAGCAGTGTATTGGGCTATGCCCGAAGGGACAATGCCCATAATTGGGCCGGTCTGCCTGCCTGCAAAAAAATAAAAAATAATTTACCTATTAATGAACCTATTGCAAAAACAGTTTGAAGATTCTTTTAAGTCAGATTTTTTGGAACAAAAGTAGTTCAGTTAGTGTATTTAAAAAAAAAATATATATAGAAAATCTTTACATAAACCTCACCTGTGTTCTTTCTAACTCACTAACTCCAATGGCGTTTCTGATCCTGTTAAAGTACTCATTTAATATACATTACCACCTGTTCACATTAGCAACAGTATAATTACCACAGACACGTGTGTTTGAAGTTTTTGGATCATACAGAGACGTGACCTTGACCAGACAATAATCTCTTCTATTACCTTCTGCGAATCGTAAGTGCAGCAATTTATCGGTTTGATAGAAGTGCTGTCACCCAGTGGGTGGGCATTATGTTTTTCCGATGTCAGTGGATTTGGTACAATTGCTTCAATGTCAGTGCGGTAGTGTGTGTGTGTGTGTGTGTGTGTGTGTGTGTGTGTGTGTGTGTGTACCTGCCTGCGCGAAATTGGTGCTTGTTGCTTTAATGATGATTGCTGTAGTGTAGTAAATAGAGTTTATCACAAGATTAAGTCTTTGGGGTAAACAATCACTTGTCACTTTGGCAGGTAACTAGTTTCTTTTGCCCTTCAGTAACACAAGTCCTGATGCAATTACTTTTCTATCTATCTATCTATCTATCTATCTATCTATGGCTGTAAACCGGTTCATGCTAGGAGGGTTTCACACCTCTAGACCCCTCAGGCAAGCAGTACTGCCGCCTGGTGCCACCACACCGGGGTCCTGGCTTATCCGTTGGCTAAACCAGGGCCTTACTGGGGAGAAGTTATCAGTAACTATAACCAAGTACTTTTTTTGTACGTTATGTGAGCAACAATGGAAATGACCAGAACAAATTTAGAGGCAATATATCTGTTTCAAGTAAGTAAGTATGTAATCTTTAATTATATGGGGCGTTTCACAGACCAGAGTCACAAAGCAGTTTACAGTTGTGTGCATTTATCTCTCGCTCCACAGAGATGGGAGTGAGGTCACCAGTTCTGGAGGCGCATGCCTTGAACATGAGTGATGTGTCGAAGTGGTGCAATGACATCGTACCATTACAGGATTTAAGC